TTGAAATATAGGAGTGTAATAGTAGATACATTTTATAACTTTATCGTTTAATTTAGACTACAATATAACGACATAGTGGACATACACCATTTACTTGTAACCAACTAAGTAGACATCCTTCACAAAACCTTCGACCACATGGAATACATAGTAAACATTGATGTTTGCTAAAAGGTTATAAACATATCATACAACTGCTTTCTTTCTTTCCATGCATATTTTCTTCAACTTCGAATAACTTTCTTTCCAAAGCATCGATTGATGCTTGGAAAGCTAGTCTTTGAACAACAATGGCCGCATCAAAAGATTCTTGAATTGCTTGCTCTTCCGTAAGATTAGTTGTGATGTCGCATATGTGAAGTGACACATGGTAAGTTACGTTATTCATAATTGAATAAGTAGATGAAGATGTTTCATTATCAACAAGCATAATGATGTTCATCAATATGGTGTTTGCATTATCAACTCTTTCTCTTCGCAAGTACTCATAAAAGTATTCTTTGTCTTCCGATTCATCTTCGTATAAGAAATCACTAAGATTAAAAAAAAAATACGTTCTTACCGATGGTGTTGTCGTGAAATTACGGTAGATTGTCGTTTTGATAACAATTAAACCGCCTATTTCTTTTTCAAGGGGTTGCTGTAATCTGATATCGAATGTGGTAATTGTATTGGCCATTTGATTGCCCTTGAGGATAGAACCTACAATTATGAAAATACATGTGTTGTGGTTAAACACACACAATTTAAAGTAGTATGAACTGAGAAAACAACACAAGATGACTAACAAAAGCATGACTCATGATATATAGAAAAATTAGTGAAAAACAGAAACGCTACAATTCACTTCTTTTGGACTAATTAAGAATAAATTACAATCGTTCGATGATAAATTTTGGTGTTTTTTATGTTACGGATTGTTTCTAAATTTCTTATTCATCATATACAAGCAATATTGCATTGTATGAAAATATAACAGGGACTGACATATCGGATAATAGAAAATCAAACAAAATTAGACTACAATGATAATTATTAATGAGTTCACCTATTTTTCTAAATTGCAATTTATTAAAGCGTTGCTTGTATTCGAAGAAAGACTTACAAGATCGAGTCAAGCAATGATTTTGCAATGAGCATAATATAACTTGATGTGGATTCTTTGAAGAAGAATATGGAGAATGAATCTTTGACAGAGAATACGGCGGTTTCGACAAAACGTTACGATATTCTTCTCAACGGTGAACAATCAAACCAAAACGCAAATCAAAGTGTTTGAAATTTAAGAAACTGAAAACAGTGACTTTGAAATCTTCGTGAAGGATGGAGAACTCAATCAAAATTAGAGATGAAAATGTCATATATAGTATGAATATACGGATAACGGTGTTAGTATCTTAATTGTATATGTGACAAACAAA